ATGAACCCCGGTAGGCTATAAAGCTATCACTCTGTTTCTTATCCTTTGGATTACGGACTCTGCGATTCCGTCTCTTGTTTGAATCTTTCAGTAATGATCCCGAATTTGTAGAAGAAAATCTTTATCTGCAGGTAAACCCCAGAGGGTTTAAACATCCGGTAACCAAAAAGACACGGGGTATGGCTTTTTCCAATAGGGCCCAAGAGTTCCCCATAGAAGGGGAAAGATAAAGTTTTTATTACCTCACCATTTCAAAATCCACTCTATCTGAGGTATACTACCCCCCCTCCGGAATGCGACCCATAAACCTACACGCGGTCCCTCTGGGGTGAACGGGAAGCAGGGTAAAGTGATAACACCCAGTTCCCTACTTACTGTAGGGAACAGGGACGTAGGTGAAGGAAACATCCCAGTTTTTCCCACTCTGCCGGGGATCGAATCTCACCTCAGTATGTCCTGTGTGCGTACCAACACTGTATCTAAAATTCCTTGATCCCTAAACAGACATTGAGGAAACTTCACTTATATACAATAGAATATACAATCTTTCTGTGTATATTCACTGAGGATACGTTTTAGTGCATATATGCTGAAGATGCAGCTCTTGGGGGCCCCCGGGGCCCGGGGCTAAAGCTCCCGTTTCACACACGGGGGCCCGGGTTCGTTTCCCCGGGCGGGTGGAAACATTCGACACGTTTCCTTACACCTTTTGTCCTGTTCACCTAGCGCAAAAAAGTACCGGGTGTTATCACGGTTTGGGTCGCACCCGGGGGACAAGATTAAGCCCCCAATGAAAAAAGTAACGTCCCTCGGACGCACTGACTTTTTTTGGTTACCCTGGGTGGCAAACCCCCCGGGGGTTAAAAACCGAACGAAATCTTATCTTATCTTATTTTTATACGTACAACCTCACGGAAATATTACAAGGAGATACACATCATGAACGTAAAAACCCTTTGGTTATTCTGGGAGGCAGGAAAGATCTCTCTCCCCTTTTTCAGCTCCCATGTTTTTATTTACTTATTTGGTTGCAAGATAAAAATTCAAAATTCACAAAAAAAAATTGCTTTTTAAAATATTTTCGATGTCCCACTAATAAAGAAATTGAGACAAAAGAGGCACGGGTATCAGATCGTTCAAAATAATAAAATGTGACTGATTATAAGCACTGAGATGTGGAGGAGGGCCTGCTTTTGTGTTGGATTGTGATTCTCCCCTATATGTGGCAGCAGGAGTCTTTTTATCCCTACAAAAGATTTACACAATTTCAGAAAAACGCTTTGGCAATACCACAGATATGAAAGAGGACAATTCCACCATGCAAAGATAAAGTTTGGAATTTTGTCACCTGCCCCTGGGATGGCATCGGTGATGATGAACTGCGCTTCACGCCCTCTCCCTTCTCCCATCAAATTAGGGATTTTCTGTATGAGTTCTCCTAAATGTTGTGGAATGAGGGAGGGAGTGTATCTCCCCAAAATCTCCAGGATGGTATCGGGAATACCACTAAAAATTTTGGCAAAGGATGGGATGCTTACTCAGATGGGAAGATATTTTTTTATGGAACTTAAATTCAGTACTCACGCACCTATTTTCATCCAGTCAGTCTCTTATACCTTTTTAAAATATGATAACACCTAAACACTAAATACAGACTCTTAAACACATAAATACAGACCTTAAACACAAAAACAGACTTTAAAAAACATAAAAACAACTCTTTAAAACATAAATACAAACTTAAAAATAAATACAGATCTTAAAAACTAAAAACAGATTTTTTCACCATAAATCTGCAAATAACCCGGGGAATAATGAAAAAAATAGATATTTATGCATGTGACAAATGTACAAAAATTTACTTAAATTTTAAAAACAACCCTTTCACATGTATACGTTACATATTCATGTGTCAGTACGCCTATGCATTAAAAACCCCGAAAAAACATATACAAGAACACAGAAGTATTTAAACACCTACAGTAAACACAATACAACAGACTTACATAAAAGTCCCTGTTTCTCATGGCATTAAATCTGTCAGGGGGATGCGCCCCCTTTAAAATTAAAAATTAGTAATAAAAATCTTTTTTTTTCAAGGGCTGTATAAGGTATACAACCTGCTGACATCAGTGACATACTATTAAAAGCCCCCTTGTTTGAGACTTTTGACAAAATTAAGTCAATTTTTTCCCCAGGGTGCGACCTACACCCGCCCACGCACCCCGGGACCTATGTTTCGCGGGGAAAGGGGCAGCAGGGGCTTAAAAAAAACTCCAATTTTCCACCTTACCTGGATCGAAACCCCCCCGGACTTCATGAGTGAGATGAGGCGCTAGTAATACACTTTTTACATATACCTCGCTACAAAAAACCTGTACACCGTGTAAAGCCTTCACCCCTTTACAAATCAAAACACGCTTTAAGGGTCACTTCCAAGATTCCAGTAACACTTCAGATGTTAGGGGAACAAAGTAGAAATTCTGTAAATCATAGCCAGAACTTCTAAAACCTTTAGTTACTTATTGTTAATCGGGTCAACTAACATTAAAGAAGCTTGTAATTTTTAAGTGATATAGATTTTGGGATCTTACAGATAATAAATGTAGGATAATTAGGCACCACGATAGGGGGATCTTTAATGGGCGACTATTTTTTCGTTTAATTTTTCGATTTTTTATGCTCTTAAACTAAGAAAACCTCATCCGATCGGTTTTCAAATCTTAACGCTTGTGTACAGAAATATTCCGTTCCCAAAACAGCTGTTTTTACAGATCCCCTATGACTAAAATTTTTAAACCCCTTTCTGAGCATCCTTTGAATGGCTCAGTAATTAAAAACCTTTTTCAGTGGCGTACTTCGAACGTTCAAAAAAGTTGCCTCGTAATTCAGCGTCAGTAGAAAGTTCAAGAAAGTAAGTGCAGTTTTCTCCATTTTAAACATAAATTTGTGTGAAATTTCTATTCCTTTTAAATCACTTTAAATAAATTTTATTCTGCCTCTTTTAGACTGACTGCCACTTCAGCAATTTTATCAAATTACGTTTATTAATTATGATTAATTCTATTATATACAATCAACCTAAGCGCTAAACCCATACGGGTCATGCATTTTTTTTTTCAAGGAAAAAATTCTTATAGGACTGTGGAGAATTTTAAATATAATATTAATAAGAAAAGATAATAAAAAATTAAACATTTGCGTTTTATGGCCATTTTTGGACACGGAGGACGGGACGAGTCTGTTTGGAAGACGAGTCTTGGGTACAGAAGGTGCAGGTGGGACTAAAGTTTAAAGAGCAGGGGGATGTCCGGAGGTTATTGGGGGTTATTCCAGGGATCAACCCCCCCGCGGCCGGCCCATGACCGGGGCCCCCGAGGGAAAAAGGGGCCCTGACAACCAGGCTGTTAGGGGCCGCCGCAGTCCGACGTACGAGCCACAGCCGGGACCCGGGCACTGCTTTAGGTACTGTCCAGCCCCCCTTTTTGAAGGCACCCAGGGGTTTTTGGCAATTCCCCCAAATGCTTGAGGGGAAGGCTGTTGAAAGTTTTGGGGCCCCTGGCACTTTGGTTTTTCCCCTTAGTGTCCCAATGGCCCTACTTTTTTTGGGGGCATTTTGCATGCCTCCCGTTTTTTTACTTTCGTGGGGAGTGATTTCTGGGGCGATTTGGGCCCTTTCCTTCCGGATTTCCAAGTGTAGATTATATATCTCTCCTCCTGCGTTCAAGAGTACAAGTCAAGTGTTCCAAGCGTTCCCATATTAAAAGGTGTTTTGACAGAACTTTTTCGTGCAGTAAAGGATTTTTGACACTCTCTAGATCTGCGATTTCACCTGCTTTGAATGGAATTTAATGTACAGCGTATTCCGCCTAGAGAGACAAGTGATTTGAAAAGGATCATCATTGGGTTGGGATCTCTCGTTTTGAAAAGTTCTCATTTTCCCTCCTATCATTTTCTTGACGTGCGTGTTTGGGTTGTTTGATCCTTTAAAATGAGTCCTCAGACATTCTACTCCCCGGGGCCCTTACATTATTTTTTCCCCTCTATTTATGGCCAAATCTGTATAACTCTGTTCTGTTTTTATCTCCTCCAGTTTTTCCCTAAGGGTAGTTGGGGGAATTTTTTCTCATTGAACATAATTGTTTTACCGTTGCCCACTGGAAAACTTCGTTTTTACTTCTTGAAGGTTAACTCGTCATCAGCAGATGACCTCATGCAGATCCCGTATCATCCCCAAAAGATGATACGGTGCGTGATGTTAAAACCCGTTATGTTGTATGAGGATGAGGAAAAGATGGGGGCGAGTTTCTGTGCCTTGTGGAACAGGCTCTCATATGGCAGCCTCCGTTTAATTGCCGGAAACTTTTTAGTCTTCAAGTAGTCGGGAATGGCCCCAAAAGGAAAAAGGACTGAAGCAGAATTGTACGTAGCCTTAAGATGGTTGATGAGTCACGTAACTAGGAGAGGAAGAACCCCGAGCGGGCAGTGGTTGGTGGGACCAGGAAATAAAATCGACCCTTTCCACAAAAGGTAGAGTAGAAAATTTAAAATATAAAAAAACCACCACACAATAACATATACAATATCACCAAATAAAAAGCATAAATTTTACTGAAAAAAAAAATACATATATAATATGCAATAATATAATAAAAACAATATATGTGAAAGAACATTACACCTTCGAATAATATTTTAGTTCTGGTGATAAAAATTTTTTATGCTCTGCAGGTTCGTTTGTTTGCATTGCCCTAAGGGGGCAGAGCTGACAGAAACGAGATATCAAATTTTTCGCCAAAGGGACCCCCAGAACACCAAAATTTTTGTTGTTACAGGCGTGGACGGAGGCGTCATGGAGGCGGAGGGAAAGGGGGGAGGCCCCCGACCCTCTGATTTTTACGGCTGAGGGGCAATCTAAAAGGCCCCCTGTGGACCTTCCAAGCTGGGCCCACCCTCGTATAATTTCGGCCCTGCACCCGACCTGTTTATGGCCCTCTCAGGAGGTTCCGTAA